CCGCTCAGATACTACAGTAGATGTGCTAACTCATGAAATGTCAACCAAAATTTCGAAATGCGTTCTCGTTTCCAAAAGATAAATTAAGTAGTGTTGTAAAACTAATCATGATGCAGCATAAATCTATAATGATCCAGTTACCTCAGTGTGTGGGCTTTCGAAAGAACTTATTTTCGGCTGCATGTAAGATCTATACTCTGCAAAAAATGACTACTTATGTAGTATGCAATTTTCTCATTGATCTTCGATGCCCTTGAAAATTCAATTATATTTCATGGAAAATATGCATAAAAATATTCATTCTTTTACTTATTCGGTAGAAAATCACACCTTCCAATTTCATACTCAAAAGAAGAGCATAATTCGGTTTTTAAATCTTTTTATTCCCGAAAAATTTTGAAACCGACCTGCTGTTACACTTGCATTCAAGGTTTCAAAACTACAAGCTGTATATTTTCCGTGTACGGAAAACCATGCATTTCTCTACGGTTTTAAGAGGAGACCATATGAGGTTCATAAAATTAAGCAGTGGATTTGAGCAATATTGATAACTATACAAGCCACATTCGTAAATGCAGATACACGACGTTTCATGAACGGCCATTTAACGGTCTTAAAAATGTCTCACAATTAGAAACTTTTTTAAAACCGAATTATACTCTTGGTTGACTTTTGGTTGACTTTTCATGAGTAAGCACATCTACTGTACATGGTCATATCGGCATTCCAAACTATCCTACCTGTGTATTAGGTAAACGATGTTATAGCAGTTATTACACCTACCAGATCGTTGATTGTAGTTTGCACAAGTAAACTAAAGAACCACAATGAACACAATAGAGATGTCGCGTGTTCTCTCACCGTAGAGTCCGCATATATTTTTGCATACCAATTGGTTTCCGTCATAGTGACGTATTGCTGTCTGAGTTAGAATGTTATTTAGGCAGCCGACGCACTTTTCGTACGTCATCGGAGGAATTTGATATTCCACCCATCTGGGATTCACGAACAACGGAAGTCATTAGTAGCATATGCTGACGATCGGTGTAGCCGGCGAGGTAACATAATACTACTAGCTATCGTTGCACAGCATACGCAGAGACGAACGCAAGTTTGTCCAACGTGACGATTAAAAAGATTGGATGATTGAGTGAACAGCATAGAAACCCAAGTGGGACACATGTCGACTGTACCGTTAACTTCAGGTACTGTTTGGAACTCCTGTATATTATGCGCATAATTTTGTACTGCCTGACTGTAGGGTGCGGTAAAATTTTGATATTTCTTGTAAGAGAGGGCAACATTGTCTAGACATTAAGTTAACTGAAGAAGGGTGGTCGAGCGCCGGAACGTCTTGTCCATTGTTCTGAGCATACGAACTCGTGCAGGGGTTCATTGTCAGAGCTAGTAGCAGCACCAGAAACAGTGACGGTTAAAAGGTGTGTAAGCCATTCATCGACCAACGGCGCAAGACTGGAGGTGATTGCGCAGGGCCCTGTACGCCGACGCCAGATCGATAGATCGACTGACAGAGTTATCATCCGAGGCCCAGGCTTCAATCAGTTCTCGGCCTGTTTTGTTTCCGGCATGGGCGACTATTTTGGTGGCTGCGAAGTTACACTCATGACCCACTTCGTGGTGCGTCATGCACACCACGAAGATGGCTACAAATTGTTGGAGGTGGCAGTCGGTGAGGTAAAAGCCCCTTGAAAACCTTGGAAACTTCTGTGCCTATACTGATATCTGACCGTGTCTACTGATTCAATAAAAAATATTATTCCCACTTTATGACTTGTCCTTGGCATGCTTTCTTCAGTGGTTGGTGTTTCTATCTCTTTTAGTCAACACCAAAGTATGATGGAATGCTATAACGGTCGGGTACTTCGTCAACCGACGTGCACTATTCCATCATCTAGAATCTATTTGCTGCTAAGTTGCTTCGCTTAAGTCGTGGCGTCCGCCACATCTCTTGTCGTTCCATCTGTCATGAATTACCGGTCATATGATCGGTTGCGCGATTCGCTAACAGTAATGAAAACGATGTCTGATTAGGCATCTTGGTAATCACAATATTTTTTAATCTCGACACACGCCTTTCTCCGCAATTTCTTGTAAGTACCTTGCCACCATTATTGTACGTCACATTCCCTGGAAATCTTGATACGACTACCATGCCATAGGTCGTTTCGCCAACTCGGATCCTACAGGCCGCGATTCATGATAGGGCTTGCGACTGCGTTTGCTGATTGGCCATGTTACTCTCGTTTCTGCCCGACGCCTATTGGTTGGGCGGCAAGCTTTGACGAAAGGTATGCGCTTGCCTGGCGGTCGAAATTGCCCGTGAGACGGATCGGCGTCCGCAAGCGATGGCTGAGAGCGAGGTTGAGAGCGTGGAATGCAACAATCTGTGAGTTTTTGCAATTGTTTCTTGGTTGTTTTATGGGAATTGGCTGGGCGTAAAAGTTTCAGTAAGGGGCCATCTCAAATATTTTGCTGAGGACCTTGGTTGCCCGATGCAGCGATATGCGATTTTGGCGTGCCTATTTCCCAGGCCGAATCATCTGTGCGCTTATATTAAACGTCTAAAAATTCATCATGTCATTAGAATTCGTTTGTTTCGCCACCTTTCTCTTGCTATACTGAGAGAGTTTGGTGTAGTTTCAATAGTTTTTATGCGTTGGGTACCTCTCGGTTTTTCTTGCAAATGAGCCACTGTAATAACTCGAATAGTAAAACTGCCAGGGTGGTCGGGATTGAAAGAATAGCTAAAGGCATATTAACGTTGCCCTTCAGAAAGTGAATCTGGTGATGGTGGCACCAGGAGTGCAGTATTTATAGCACGTGGCTGCCGTGGACCGTATGCGCACTGCAAGTAACAGTTCTCGCAATCACCGCTGGGGTCGTAATTGATGCGGTGGTGGTTTGTCAGTCCGAGTCCGAGTCGTTAATGGCCGCGATTTCGTCATCCGTGCTGGATGCTGGCGTGACGATTGCTCGGCAAACTGGCTCACTGTCACTGTGATAATTGCTCGCCCGCGCCCTCCTCTTCCAGTGTTCGCATTTTCATCTTCTGAACTGCTACCTGGAACTCGCCTGTTTGCTTCTATCAGCAACGTTGCCCTTATTGTACATATTAAAAGAACGATTGTGGCAGTTACTCCTGCTTTTTGTCATATCAACAATATTGATCACTGCACTCGACCTGAGCCATCATCAGGCGGCTTGGTCCGTACTAGCTCTTTTGGAAAGAGTCGATTTTAAGATCAGGAGTACCCCGATCAACGGCAGTTGAAGCCTGAGTAACATTAGAAGAAAGGAGACACCTAAAGGGGAGATTCATAGTACACAAGGACCCTTTGTGTTCGCTACGGGCTGTAACAGTTGCTGGCGGATGGAGTGCGTGCTTTGGCGGTGTCACAGCATGCTTGAGATCGTGATTTTGCCAGTGGCTGCTTCTGTAGATTCGCGGGAGGGATGGTATGTCTAGCTGCTTAGGTTGCATTAGCCAAGGGATGGCGTGTTCAAGCGTCTAGAGTCTACACCAACCTCGGTTCGGAGACGCGTCCGCCGACAGTCAGCACGTTTGGGAGTAGATAAGGTTGCTTTGTAGCAAAGCCGCTGTACGCAGAATGGTATTGCCGACAAATACAAGGGAGACTGGAATAGCTATTTCCGGCCTATTAGCCGTTGTCAGCCAGCCATACCTCACCCCGAAGTGTGGAACACATGGGTCTCGAACTCGCGACCCGTTAGTTAAAATTCCAACGCTACTAACTACTGGGCCACGGGCCCTTTGTCTTGCCGGCTTCGATCTGAAATCTACAATAGTAGAGGGGCGCTCACCGATCGATCTTGCGGAACTCAGTCGTTACGTTGTGCCCTACGGGCTCTCCCTCTGGAGCCTAACCAACAGCCGCAAAGCGGCGCATGATATAGGCAGAATGTAATTACCGACAAAGACATTGGGCACGACTGGCTAACGACGACTAATAAACCGGAAACGGCCGTTCCAATCTCCCTTGTCTTTGTCGGTAATACCATTCTGCCTATATCATGCGCCGCTGTGCGGCTGCTGGTTGAGCTCGAGAGAGAGAGAGAGAGCCTGTAAGGCACAACGGAACGAGTGAGTTCCGTAAGAACGATCGGTGGGCGCCCCTCTTTAAGAGCTGTTGTAATAAAATTAAGTGGTGTTGAGCTGTCTGAGGTCCAAAGCAGATAAGGTGACCGCCTCGATGATGGCGTCGACTAACACACACGCAGTATGTCAGCTACAAACCCCTGGGATCATTGACATAAAAGAACCTTGATTTAGTCCACGCATCTGCCCAACCTGAAGTCTAGACAGGGCTCACTTACAATGGTAAGGATGCCAGGAATTACCACTTAGGTTCCTAGCCTGTCATTGATTAAATATTTCTCCATTTTCTGATTACTCGCCTATATGCCACTTCATTCAGTCAGATGGGTTCGCTTCACGCCCACTTAAAGGTTCTCTTGAAGTAGTAGTGTAGTTACAGTGTGAAAACGGCTGCGATAATCTTCCAAAAAACTTTGTAAGTCCAAACATGCACTTTTATATTAGCGATGGAGCAAGCACCGATCGCGTTACGAAATCCATTCGTCCCTTGTGTCTTGGCGATCTCCCCCGAGCCCCACCAAGCAGCCGTTCAGCGGCTCGTACTATGTGCATGATGACAATACCGGCAAAGACAAAGGAGACTGGAGCAGCCATTTTTGACTTGTTAACCTTTATCAGCCAGCCATAGCCAACCCCCGAGGCTGGATCTCGCGTCCTGTTGGTTAGAAGTCCAACACCCTCATCATTGATTCACGGGCTGATTATTCTGTTGGTTGTTTTTGGGTTTGTTAACAATGGTAAAAAGGCGTGCACCGATCCTTCCACGCCGCGTTTAGACGACAAAGCATGTTACCTACGATTTGTATGCTACTTTAGGCCTACTGAGCAACAGGAAATGTCGTGTGGTCACACGTCTTGTCCCATGACGGCGGAATCGAATCAAACATCTGATCGATGTCCATTATGCCGCACGGAGACTCATTTCTTCGAGTTGGAGCCAGAAGCGTCTGCAATTTCGTCTCGCGAAGAATCGTCTGCGGACTGCAAGACGTCTGAGCCAGCGACCGGAGACCGTGGTCAGGGTTCGAACGCAGTCGATCCAGTGTCAGAGGTGAGCTGGTGTAGAAAAAGAATTTGTATTTTCCTTATTTCGCGACCGTGCTTTTTGGGGTGGGAATGACCTTACGGACGGTGTTTTCTCAGCAGAGCTGCGCCGCCTTCTAAACACCGCGGTTCTTTTTACGAAAGAGAATTCACAGAGTAAAAGGGCCAGCTATACTTGAACGGACGAGGAATCGATTAAAAAGCGCATCTTGTGCATAAGAATTTTCCCAATGATTTAAGGAAGACCAAATACCTACTAGAGCGGGCACTTGTTGATCAGGGTCTCAGCATTAACTGCTGTTAAAATAGGAAAAAAAACATTGCTTTTTGAATATGCGTCCTAAGAGAACCTTATCTGGGAATTCACAAAGCTGTCCTTAAACCTATTAAGACTATCGATGGAGTTCTTCATCGGGTCAGCACAGCTCTTGACCGGACCACTTGAACTAGCATCAACGGTCCACGTTTGCCAAGCGTTTCGCGAGTCGTAGCGTTAGTTGATATCGGAGGCATCAGTCGTCTAACATGTCGATTTTCTTCAAATGAATACGTTTGTGGACGTAGGGTAAGATGACCACGACCGTACCTTAAACACTCCAACATATATTCTCTCCTAGATGTAGCAGTGAGCCAACCTAGATGTAGCAGCGGCCGACCCTGGATGTTGACCCATGTAGCACATATGAATGGAGATGAACAAAACCGTTAAGTGATTGTAGCTTCCTGTTACTATCCGTGTTCTGCGTCCATGCCTTGGCGCACAAGTCTCAGTGTGCCTTTGAAGGGGATGGAAGTAAATTTAAGATGATATTTGCGAAGGGTACGTGTTGTGCCACCCTTGTAAACTTGGGGCTGCGAATTTTCCTCATCCAGTTATGTTATTGGATATTCATGCTGTCGTCAAAAATCTTCCTTCTAATCATGCATACCAAATTTCCCCAAACATATCTGCCTTCCCAGGTACTGGACATTGCGATGAAAAAGCTGACTGACCTGTCGTCGGGGAGAATCTCTCTCGAGTCGCTGAAGACCACTCTTTGCAGGTTCAGGGATGAAACCGTGTCCTGCAAGGAGAACCTCCTCGGCGAGATTACCGCCGTTGATCACCAGCTATATTATCCGGCCTTCTACTCTCTCGAAAAAGCCAAACTGCTTGTGGTGTCAACATTTACTGACGAGCTCGTGGAATTAAAGAAACTGCAGAGAAACCTTTTGAGGTTGAAGAGAAGACTGGCTGCTTTGCTCCAGACGGCCAATAGTCTGCCTGAAGAAATCGTAAGTTCTATTATGTTTTCGGGACGCACTTCCGTGATATGCAGTGAGTGACCGATCTCATGAAGTGCTAGCCTAAATTCTGCGTTCTGGATTAGGACGGAGTACTTAAGTGGGGTTTAAGTACTGATTATCGTGCGCCATAATCCTATAATATTTCGGACTCGCCAGGTTGTTAGCTTTTAAACGCACTTTTTCGACCTCCTGCAAAGACCGCACTTGGTACCAAATAACTCTGAAGCAGCATGCATTATTCACATGCATCCACTTATATTTTAAATAACGCATGCACAAAATATGCCCTTTTGTTCATTTGGTGGCAAATCACGCCGTCTTTGCATTTTACACCCGAAGGAAGGGTACCTTTTGGGTCAGATGTGGTTATGTAACCCCATCTGAGGTAAACAAGTTCCAGCCACCTGTTATACGGGACCGGTGGTAATAGGGGTTGTTACAGGTGGAGCCGGGGAACACACAGGCGGCGAGGTCAGAGAGATTTATGCAAAAGAAAGGCTACTGTGAACGCGCGGTTGTACTTTAAGTGGTTGAGAAATAGTTGCCCTAACCCTAACCTCTAACCCTAAACTCTTGTCCTAACTCCTGACTCTTATCCATAACCCTTACCCCTAGCCGTAACACCTAACCATAATCCCTTATCCCAACCCCAACAACATTGTGTCCATCAGGTGGGGCTACATAACCACATCTTACCGCCTTTGGGTTTTCAATTAGTTTCCCTTTTATGCGGTTTTTCAAGACTTCAATTTTCACTCACAGAATCGTACCTGTCCGTTTGTTGATGCTTCTCATAAAGCATCCATTTTAAAATTTTGTGAACTATTCAAAGTATCTTTCCAAAGGCATAGAGGGATGTATGATTCTCATTGCGCGGAACGTATACACCTTGCAGACTGAAATTGCTAAGGGCTAGTGAAATGGTGAATCCAATTTAAAGTTATTCGGCAATTAGGGGACTTTTTCAAAACCTAGATATACGCTTTCTTTGAGTATAAAATGTGAAGACGACGTGAATAACTACCAGATGGGTAAAAGAAAGCACACTTTTTGCAGGTTTTCTATAAGGAGGGGGAAGCGATGACATGCGCGCAAATTGCATGATAATAGGGAATGGCACAGCATTAACTCACTTGTTATTACAGAGCCCATTCTCTTCCAGCCCTATGACTGGAATTATCATGGGCCTCAAGCATTGCGAGAGTCTGCTATGCCATGATTAGCAAGCCATTGCCATCGCAGCCTGGTATGCGTCGGCAATTCCTTGACGCCGTTTTCTCTTCCGGTAGATGCGCTGGCGCTACCGCTGGGCACTTAGGTCGTATGCACGGTTGTCCAGTCATCCTCATCTTGCCGTTGTTGTTGTTGGTTAAAATCCTGGTCAAGTGTTCTTTGTGGGCCAGGGAGCGTGGAGAGGCACGCCTAGTTGGGGCTTCGGCCGCGCTATCCACCTGCGCCCTATCTCGCCTCTAGTCCTCTTGATTCCGTCTTGAAACTGGGCCACAGGATGCGGTAGATGTTGCTAAAGTTTACTCTAAATATAATCACGCACAAGTCACCGTGCCTGCCCCACCTTGTGGAGTCCACCGGTGGAAACCGTCGGATGCAAATGTCAAAACTATCATCCAGCAGTCCTCAGCGGCACTTGGCTCTTGGTCTCTGAGACCAGTCGCCAACCTTTCGAAACCTTCCAATCTCTCAATAAAGTAAGGAAGGATCGCTGCAGTCGGTTGTGTATTCATACTGGTAGAGGCCTAACTGAGTCAGTTCGTCTGATCGGGTGATAGAGAACGGCGAAATGTCAGGCATTTCTTTTCCATTTTGCGCATGGTCGGTGTGCGCTAGAGATCCTTCAAGGCAGAATATGAGCCCAATTCTACGTTCTACTTTATAGCGGTACCGACATGAACCGCAATTCACCCTGGGAGGTCTACATACGTCTTTTCGTGTAAATGGGTTTCTGGGATACAACGGAAGTCAAACTTACTTGTAACATGTGGCAGTCTAAATTAACTGGGTTCAAGTAGGCTCTCAATAATTGCTTTGCATAGGGACGTGTTTGACGAAGTCTGATGCTACATCAGCCACCGCACTCAGTCCCAAATAACCACTCTGCCTACTGGCTGGGAGAGGCAACTTGTTCATGGAATAGGGAAAAAGGTGACGTGTTTATCGAGTCAACCTTTCTCAAAGCCTTGCTCACAATAAACAATACGACAGCATGCTATTACCGACAAAGACATGGGAGACTGGAATGGCGAATTCTGGCTTATTAGCCGTCGTCAGCCAGTCGTACCCAACCCCGAAATGGCCATTCCAGTCTACCTTGTCTTTTTTGTAGTAACACTCTGCCTGTATCATGTACCGCTGCGCGGCTGTTGGTTGGGCTCGAGAGTGAGAGCCCATAAGGCACTACGGAACGAGTGACTTCCGTATGAACGATCTGTGAGCGCCCTTCTACAATTGTATCTTCCTGATCGGAACCGACAGGACAACAGACCCACGGCTCAGTGGTTAGAGGTGTTGGACTTATAACGTACAGGTCACGCGTCCGAGCATCAGGTCTTCCACACTTCGGAGTTAGGTATGACTGGCTGACGACGATTAATAAGCTAGAAATGGTCATTCCAGTCTCCCTTGTATTTTTCGGTAATATCATTCAGCCTTTATCATGCGCCGCTGTGCTGCTGGTGGTGGGCTCCAGAGAGAGTCTGGTAGGCACAACGGAACGATTGAGTTCCGTAAGAACGATCAGTGAGCGCCCCTCTACCAAACAACTCGACTTATTCATGAACCATTACGACAAAGTAACGGGCCAGGCTCGGACTTTACCAATACGCGGAATTGCTTAGTCCTTCTTTAGAAGAAAGGTCAGTCGGTAATGATGACATGTTAAGATGACCGTAATGCCGTGCTCGCCTACGTACCTTGCGAGACCTCCCCCCTTATCAGGACAGCGGGTGTATGGTACGCCTACTCCGTGCCTAAAACGCCTTATCCACTGCGCACATGTCCACCTATAGTCGCCTCGAAACAGGTTTGCATGAGAACATGATGAACGTTTGAAAGTTGGGCGAGGTAGATGCAGCGCATTTCTGATTAACAGCAAAATGTCAGGCGCTGGTGGACTCCGTTGGCTGCGATGGTCGAACTATCATACTGCATGCCGTTGAACTCTAAAACCCACAAATGGAGAGGTCAAACGTGCTCTTGCTACACTTTAAACCATGAAGTATAGTCCATTTGTCCTTTGTTTGCAATTTTCTCAGCAAAATATATGTTCAAGGACAAGGTCAACGACAATGACAATGTCAGATGCACAAAGTCCATTAGGTTGTCATGTAAGATGTTATGATGTGGGAAAAGTTACTTATAAGAGAGTTTGCCTTATTATGTCGTGTCTTGGAGAAATAAATTCCTTCCCTACTCCACTCTCTCCTTCCCCAGGACTTTGCTGCGCTAAAGGAATTGGAACAGTCAGCAGGGAAGATTCTAGAAAGCGCCAAAGACTTTCAACAGTCGCTGGAGTCGCGTGACGCTTCTGGTTTTGATAATCTAGAGTTGGCTCGCAACTTTGAATCGGTACGTTCAGCAAACCCGAAAGGGTTCTTATGCTCGGTTACGGTTACGTCCCCGCAAGGGATTCCTTTTGTATCTTCCGTTGTTTTGTTTGAGGTCTTTGAAAAACTCCGGACATGTATTAATGTTCTTCAGATAATAGATTTATCAGCAGCCTTTGTGTGATTGTTTGTCAATACGCTGCCAACATAGTAAAAAAGTTGTACGCTGGCTTAGATTATTTAAGGCCCATAAATTCATTAAAATCTAGAGTAGATTTGGCGTTCAGCATAGATCGGTGGGAAGCTGCGTTATGCCAGGAAACATCAAAGCTGATGTTCGGGCGAGCCTAAGACGAAGGTTTCCGTCAAGGTCGCGCTCCTTCATAGCATTCATACAGGCTTATCAGAGCACACGGGCATAATCATTTTTAATATTTAATTTCAGGAATATCCTTATTAGACCTTTTTGTAAGCATGTGCCCAATGCGTTCGCAGAGGAAGTCTGAAAGGCTGAAAACACCAGCGCAGTCAAATTTCCGCTTCGAGGATAAGTAGACAGCAGTCCACTTACAGACGGCAAGTCTCCTGCCAGTACGTTTACTTTTGGTACTTTTGATGGAATTCAGATTCACTCACAATTACGTAACTTGTCCCTCGTGACCTCCGACATAGCGAATCTGCGTGAACAACTGGCGCTGTTTCCAACAGAAGCTCAGTGTGGTCACCCAGAAGAGCAGAGGTAAGCCTGATTTTATTCTCTGACGCTGTTGAAGCCTTTGTTCACTAGGCAACAGTCTTTGCATGGCTCGTAGCGGCAAAGAGCCGACAGATACTGATTAGGTAGAATCGCATTACCGACAAAGACGAGGGAGACTGGAATGGCCATTTCTGGCTTATTGGCCGTCGTCTGCCAGTCATACCCAACTCCGAAGTGTGGGACACCCGAGGCTCGAACTCGCGACCTGTTAGTTAGAAGTCCACGCCTCTAACCACTGGACTACGAGCCCGTTGCTCTGTCGGTTTCGATCGGGAATATACAATGGTAGGGGGCGGTCACCGATCGTTCTTACGGAACTCACTCGTTCCGTTGTGCCTTATGTGCTTTTTTTCTCTCGAGCCCAATCAGTAGCCGCACAGCGATTACTGATTAATTCGTAGGCGGAAAACATTCGCAAGGCGCCCACTGTTTCGCTAAAAAAAATCATGTTAGCAGGCTGAGCTTCGAAAGCTGGGACCCCCACACGTTTATTTGTAATAGAAGCGTGTGGTTCGTTTTTCTAAACAGTCGTTGCAAGATTACCTTGGGGGTAATATATTTAAGCTCGTGGATGGAACACCTGTGGTAACATCCGTTTTAGATTGGTCTACTCTCGCGTAGCATTAGTTATTCAAGTTATTCAGCTGTTTCTTAATCATTCCATAGTTGGACGGATTGCGCCTATCATTCATAAATGCGTGGCTTGAATCCTGCGACGGAAATTCGTTATTTTGGCCACTTTGTAATCAATAGGATGGTGAGTACTTATATCAACACAACTGTTTAAATGCTGCCTAATGTCATAATATATGTGGTTTCGGGTAGAAAACAGAACCAGAACGAGGTGCGTTCTCGATGACCGAAACATTTGTTTCACAAAAATATATACACCCCGAGAATTTCCCATAACAACGTTGAAGAATTGGTTGATGGTCATAAACGTTAACCGCTCCATATTTAGAGCCGAGTAAAGATCATGACAACACCAGTTTCACACATAATTTAACCCTTCATCCATACATCATGTAATTACAGATGACTATGCCAATATTTGGAGCAGTTCGCAGTCGTCTCGCTTGGCCGTTTACGATTTCTGGTGTGAGGCATCCGTTTAAATATGTTTGATTTGGTATCCCCCTACATCAATGCCTTGGCGATAGACCATCTGTTCAGATGGGAAAAGTTTAGAGATCCGGGAAGATTATTAGAAGAAGAAAATTGGCTCTCCGGAACAGGTTTATTTAACTGCTGGCGTTTCAAAGAGCTGGGTCGGCTCTTCATTGTCAAAGCGTAAACTGCACCTAATCGATTAGAAATTTAGTTTAAAGTGGCAAGTTGTGTTGGCCGGCCTCACACGTTGGGGAAACGGGGCATACTTTTGACCTCCAGAGGGCTACCATCTTAGGCCGAGGCAACACAAAAACAGAACGGCTAACTCTCGAAGCGTGGTTCTCCGATGCCCACTCTATCAACAGGCATCTGGACCTTCCTGCAGCTTACAAAGTCTTACGTCACCACAATCGTAGAGCTCAGGACCAAACAACCACACCTGACTTAAGAAGGCAGCACGGAGATAGCCCGACGCTGATCTTACTCGGTGAGGAAGAACAAGAACCGCCAGACCGACCGCCCGACTAAAGTCCAATCAGCTCCCCTCGACGGAGTGGTGACTCATAAAGCGCACAGGCAAAAACGCCCGTCAACCATTTCGTGAGAGGCCGACGCAGCGTGAGGAGAGAGAAAAATCGATCAGCATGAGGCCGGCCAACACAGCTTGCCACTTTATATTAACTTTCTGATCAATTAGGTGCAGTTTACGCTTTGACAATGAAGAGCCGACCCAGCTCTTTGAAACGTCAGCAGTTAAATAAACCTGTTCCGGAGAGCCAATTTTCTTCTTCTGGTAGACCATCTGATTATGACAGCAAAATTGAGGTTGTGATTTTGTTCTCGACAATCAGTAACCACGAACAGTAACTAAATCCCCCGCCGAAGTCCGTTTCATGTCCACTTGACGGAAACTCGACTTTGGCATACGTAGTTTCAGTGACAATGCGCACAGGATAAGCGGTGGATAGATCTCCACTGTCATCACCGCGCTGTCTGGTCACCGGCAGGTATTCGACGCCAATACTGAAGGCTCAGGTGGCACGTTTTTCGGTCGCCTCAGCAAGGGTTCGTACTTTCTTCGGCGAGGTCGTGGGGATCTGGTAGAGGAAGGAGCCATTATTTCCGGGCTGATCATGTAGATAGACTGTCGCGCCCACTCCTTCTCCGGCGATATTGCAAACCTTTCTTGATACCAAATAGAGGATGTATGTTCATATGCGATTGTTGACATCTCAACAGCTGATCTCTGCCCGGTAAAGAAAGACTGCGGATGCAATACAGACCTTCCGCTTCTTGCAATAGGCACGCGCTAACTCACGAGAAAGTTGCCTGAAAGTTCTGTGCAACGAGACGCTAGCTATTCTTTGGCAACAGAGGCTTGCTTGCTCTCGAAAGGAGGTCTCCGCGCCTGATTTATGTTTGGGAATACTCTTGTTTGCTTTTCGGACAAAGTTGTATCTCTCTGTAGTGTCCTATCCTAAGGAAAAGCATATCTCAGTTCAAAAGGGCTTTTTGCAAAGAGTGTGGGCATATTTTGATCGGCTTACAGAGCTACGCGTAAGAATCTGACCAAGTCATTGAAATAGTTTTAGATGCAGTCTGGCTGTCAGGCTTTCTTGAGGGCATTGTTTTGCAAATGCACGCAGAAGGCGATGTTTTCATTCTTCAAAAACGTTCATATGCGCTAAATGTGATGATTTGTGAGATTCGCTTAATTATGGAGACTTCAGTAGTAACTTGCAAGCAGACACGTTTGAGAGTACGTAATTGCACGCCAAACTTTACTAAACATTTAAAAACTTTGTTTGCCATGGCCGTTGAGATCGTATTCAAAAATAGACATTGTCTAAGTGAATCGGCTCGTCGAAATTAATGCAGGATGTTGGGGGGAGACTCATTACTAATGCGTGTCACGCACACCATGGTGTTGAAATTGACCTTGGGTGGTACATCGTCGATTCCGTTCTGTCTTAGGGCCCTTGTGTTGCCGTTCACGTACGTACATGTAATCAGTGACCTGGAAGTGTAACAGGCGATGTAAGGGAAGCAAAACTAATCGTCTCTTATTTACCGTAATCAATTGGTCATGCCTCAACCTTAAACTCGGATTTCTGCTCGCTTTTAAGTAACAAGCTGATTGCCTTGTCATCGAGTCACGTGGTCAGAGACACCACGGTGCAACATCGCGTCCCGTGGTTCTTCCGGACCGTTTTTATGCTTGTTTGGTGGGCTGTTCGTCTTAATTCTTTCTTGCAGAGAGAGAGAGTGGACTGCTTTATTTTGAAAATAACTTTTAAAACTTTCAGCAAAAACGGTTCTCCTGTACACAGTGATTACTATAGAGATTAACAGGTATTGGAAGGGTGGACATGATTATATATGAAGAAAAAAGGACTTTAAGGTTCAAGATCGAGTTTTAGTTTTTGTTTCTTAACATCTTTGCAGGTTAGATACAGGGCTAGAAATGGCAGTATGGAATTCCGATAGGCCGAAGTGCGGCAAGGGCTGTTGCGGAAGCATCGACGCATGCGGCGTAAGGATTTCGCAGCCATTAACTCATTATGAAGGGGATGGACGATGTCATTCAGAATTCGGTCAGCAAATTGCTCCACCGAGTTGAAATGTCGCTGCACGATGATATCAACTAAAATATGATAAGAAACACCACCAGCAGAGGCGAGCATTCGAATGACACGTTTAAAAATAATGAGATCTTTTTTTAAGTAAAACTGGAAAAATAACTGGAGAACAATAAAGAATGAGTGGAAGAATACAGCCATCTATGAATCGCCAGATTAAGGACTTGGGTGTATGATATGGACGTAGACAACGAATGTAATAAACAAGGTTTTGAATTTTTGTTAAAAGGGTTTCCATATGAAGAGTGAAAGAGAGATTTGAGGATAAAGTAACACCTAGGTACCGGAAAGAGGATACCTCATTGGGAAGAATATCCAAAGGTTCAGGAATGGGAGAGGGTCGCAATCGAAACACACCATGTACTGATTTCTGCTTGTTGAGTAGGAGTCCATTATTCGAAGACCATGCGAAGACGCGTGATCTAAGCCATCCTTTAAAGACTGCAAATGAGTCAGGTTTTTGAGTGGGTGGCCTACGACCATGTCATCGGCATACTTAACATACAGGCAGTCGTTTGGCGATCTCAAATCATCAGTATGTAGGGAGAAAAGATGAGGGGATAAGATGGAACCTTGTAGAACTCCACAACCTACTTTCTAAACGGCACACCACTGCAACAGGTTGACAGTCAGACTCAAACCAACACTGCACTGCGCGAAGGCGGCTAAATCGGCTACGGCCACATTGCAACTCATTAGGCGAGCATTTATGGGTTTTGACCCTGACTGCCTTTCCAAAATATTTGGCACCTTCGTGCGACCTCATCTAGAATACGCCATACAGGCGTGGAAACCCTGGACTGCCAAGGATTATACCGTCTTGGAGAAGGTCCAGAGACGGGCGACCAAAATGACACAAGGTCTGGGAGCACTGCCCTATGAAACCAGACTGTCAATCCTAAACCTGTTTCCCCTTTCCTACAGGCAATGACGTGGTGACCTTATACTAACATTTCGCCTCATCAGCGGCCTAAACTGTTGTTTAGATCCCACTGATTATTTCACCCAAGCTAGCACGCCCAATTTGCGCGGCCATCCCCTAAAACTACGCGCAGGGAAATCAAGAACCAATGGACGAAAGTCCTTTTTCAGTAACAGAGTGGTTGCAGCCTGGAATTCCCTACCTACCGATGTTGTAACCTCCTCCTGTGTGAACTCCTTCAAGTGTAGACTTGAGCTGCATCAAGCTTGCCAATTACCACCCCCACATCCACTCGCATAACCCGATACCATCTTATATGTGTTTATACTACTTGTAATTAGTAAGTAACCATTAATGATTACTCTTTTTCGGCTAGCTGCCAGCTGTCCGCCAGTATGTACAAAATCCCTTTTTCACCTTCCCATTTATCAATGTTTTTCTCCGACGACTTGTAACCAAGAGGGAGTTTAAAGGCGCTTGCCTATATTTCCCTTAATAAACTGATACTGATACTGATACTAACCAGGTTCAGGTGGGTGAGGAAGGAGAGGGTGCGGTAGATGCCCTGCAAGTCCGCTGTCGTGATAAAGTAATCTGCACGAAAGTCACCGTCCTGCGCCTTCACCACGTTGTGCTTTAAACCGTTGTTCGTGACGGTCGAATTGAACACTGGTGGCGGAAATAAACCAAAGATATCTACTCCAGGTTTCCGTGCTAAATGACCATACTGTTCAAGGGCGTCGCTTGGGGTTCCGTTCACATTACACGGAGTATCTGCTCAGGTCCGCGTATGAATTCTGTCGCTGGGTGTAGACTTGCAGTTCCTGCGATGGAAATGCCCTAGGGGTTAACTGGAAGTAGACCACAGTGGATATGCAGTTTGCCCCGTCAACTGTCTCGTGAGATCGCGTGGCGACCAGGAATCACCGATCGAGGAGTGTTACCGCTGCGTTGTCAATTAGTCGTACTCCTACAATCCAACGGCTGTTTGCAAGGACCCGGCGCTTGAAATCGGACTTATGTCGCCTACTGTACATTAAATCACACGATTAGCGAACACGTAGTCTCCGCTCGAGCCCCGGCCTCTCCTGGGATGCGTTTTACTGGTTGATGACACCGAACAAGCAGTTCGTGAACTTCAAAGTCAACATTACACAGTGTCTGCTGAATCTCGTACAACAAGCCTACCTCCCAATGCAAGATAACAACATCTGCATAGGCCGACGACTATGTCAGCGGATCTTTAGTTTCCAACTGTAGTACTCCTCACAGACTGTCTCCAGTAAGTTGATCTGATTACTTCTTAGTCGTAGGAAATGAAGAATATTCATGAAGTATTCTGTTTGCATTTTCTTGGTCTACTGCCTGCAGACTTTCAGTGATGTCGATCGATGGCCGATTTCGGGAAAGATTGCAAGCATGAGACTCGATTTTATGCTTTCAGTTATTCTAGTTAGCTAATTCTGAGTATGTCTGGTTACATATATTTACCCATAATAAGTTAGCTTGAAGCTATTTCTTCCCAGAAGCACCACCTGAGGGTGGTTTGTGGTAGACCGTTTTTAAATTACTTGCATTGTCAAATTTTTTTTCTTTTTATTAACTCAGATCCACTGAAGTGGATTGGAATCTGGATCTTAACAAGGTCTTCCTTAAACGCCTTCCCGAGGTTACCAATGAATGCGATTTGCATGCATATTTCTCTAATTTTGGTCTCATCGCCAACGTCGTGCTGAAGGACAGCATGGGGTCGGCCTCTGTCCGCTGCGGGTTTGTCACCTTCTTTGAAAGGGACTCGGTGAGGAGGGTGCTTGATACTCAACCACATCTGCTAGGCGAGGATCGGATCATCGCTTGCGTGGCAAGGAAAAAACAGTCGGACCACCAAGGGTAAGCTCTTCGCGTGGAGATGCGGTCGATTCCATCTCGGCTACAAAGACGTGCACCGTTCCTGGTCATCTCCCTTCGTCTCTCTCTCCCCCTCTTTCGCTTTCCCCATTCCCCTGTCCCTTTACCCCTCTCCATCTCCGTCCTCCCCTCCTCCCTTTCACCCCCTCTCATCAAAGGCGCGGAAAAGTCAGCGTAAACACAAATGCCCCTTTCGGTTAGCCGGTGACGGTTGCTGCTTGCCTGGATATGGTTTTCGAGTGTTTAATACACCAAGAAGATCGCGATGTGTCATCAAACTGCCTTCTGGCAAGAGCTCCCGAGATGCCTCTGCCTTGCCGTCCACTTCGGCAATAGCTCGGCTCGTCACAACGTTTGCGCCAATAGCCACGTTTGAGTCGCATGGCCCTCCGTATCGGTGGTGCTTGTCCTAAAGCCATATTTTGATACTTCAAAGTAGAGCACAAACAAAATGATTTGAAAGAAGTTGAAAATAATAAATGAGAAGGCCAAGGTCAGATTGATTATTGGAATTTATGCATTTCCTTGACGAATTGTGGTCTATCCCGATTTTATGAAAAACACCACTCACTTGCGTCGTGACACTTAACTCCGTTGGTGTTAAAACACTGTTAATTTAAGGCAAAAATGTGCACCAGGCAACGATACGTTGTGTAACCCCACTTTGCAACTAGCAGCCGTATTCTCTAATACAGGGATTGTGGAAATAGGGGTTTTACGTATGGGGGATCACCCCCTCATGCCAGATAATGTATCACTAAGAATATGCTAGAACGACTCGGTTCACGTGATTATATCAGTGTGCTAGGCAAGACTGAAGTGGTGAATTCCTGTAGTCACGAATTGGAGATCTAACCAAGACTTACTAAGACAAATGTAATAGCTAGTCGTGCATATCAAACATAGTGGGGTTACACAACCTATTTCTATCGTGCACGGTTTAGTAGGGTCCCGGGTTTTGGCCATTGTTTCGCCATTGTCTAAACTTCTAAGGTATGTTCGGTGTAGAGTTGCATATTAGTAGATACGGGTGGTGGTTGTTTATGATGTGCAACGTGCCATGTTCGCCCGTGGGTCGTTTACTTTCTACCTAGATCTCATCCCTTTGATCCATGGATAAAGTTACGGCGAAGGTAACTTACGGTGACCCTCATGGCACCACATTGCTGCTGTGGTGATCGGTCGCAACTCTTGGACGTCCTGCCTAATCTATTTGACCCACTAGTACGCGCGCATTCGAATCAAGCTTTCTTACCCTAACTGCTGGCCAATCACTCATATCTTTGTCCTGACCGAAGTAAACCAACGCGCACAGGCTGGCTCAGTTCATGTAGGTGCTGCGTTAGCCTTAGGCGTATGACGCAACCTTGCGCCCTTAGGGGTTCTTACACAACTTCTCCTTCATGGGATATGTCCAGAAGTCGTGTTAGTTTAGGCAGTCATTTTACATGGGCCTGCTTTTTGTTCGTCACTCCTGATTGAAGTTCACGTTAGAGCTCTAACATCCGATAGGACATGTTCCCGCGCGACCGATTCCCACGAGGAATTTAGCATGATTCAAACTCATTTCTTACAGAGGGTCATTATCCAATGGAATTCCTTACCGACGTATGTTGTAAATCCCCCTACCGTGAGTGTTTTCAAGGCACAACTGGATAATCACCTTCCAGAAGGCAACGCGAACTGCCGAAGTCCAATCTGGCGAATTACTGAGATGACTATAAACAGACTACTAGCGTGATTTCAACAGATCCTTTTGTGGGCATTAGACGTGACCTCTGAGAGAATTTTCACAGCGCCAACGCAGTTAACAATTTTTCCGCAGTTATTTCGCAAATGCCATGCCTTTTTAACATTTATGCTCTACTGGTAGATCTGTACATTCTGCACACTAAAACTGTGTGCAAAATCTTTGCAATTTAACTATTTTCCCCACACACCAGTACCGTTTAAAATAGAATTTTCAGGACATCTGTCGTTTACTCCAAATATACTGTGTGACCCAGATATCCTAGACGTAACCAGACTTCAAATTGCGTCGGCCAGCGTTCAGCGGGTTTCGACACATAGTATAAGTTGTCGGGCTGACCGTGGACGAGCGACGATTAGAGGATGCGAGAAAGATGTGCAGAGACTTCAAGCTAGCCATTTAATGGCCCTCAATGAAACAGAGGCCGACTGTCTAATCGGTGCTATTTTACCCCGCAGATCTGTGGACCCCGGCGTCTCGGTCGCTGACAACGACGACGGCGACTTTTCGAACTCTGACGACGACCAACCGAGCAACGATGCCTTCTGTGACCAGCTTACAATGTTTGTTGGCCACTTGAAACAAGAGATCACTGAATCGGATCTCACAACCTACTTTTCCCAATTCGGCAGAGTCACAGACGCTTCAATAATACACGATTGGGCCACCGGCGAGTCTCGCGGCTACGGTTTTGTTACCTTCGCTGACAGCAGGGCTTTCCAGGCGGGTGTACTGAAAGCCTGCCACTTCCTCAAGGGCTGTCGCCTCAGTGTCAAGCTCTCAGTTAACCGTCTTCTGTCTCGTACCCCCACCGTACTTCCTCCACCGCCGTCTATGTTAAGTTTCGGAAAAATTAGATTTATCTTTTGTCACGCATTTACTCATTTCTGGGATGTTTTTTATCTCAGTTAGCCGTAGTCAACAAGAGTATTTTCCCACTAAAAGTTACTCAAACATCTTAGTCACGCGGCCGAGTAGGGGCTGGGTGACCTCCAAAAAAAAGAGGTGATTTGTCAGTTCAGGACTGTGTGTACAATGAGTGAGCGACCAAAATCCTGAAATGCGTATTCGATTCGGAAGGATTACTTAGGTGCGGTTGTAGTATTTATTATCATGCAGCATAATCCTATAAGATTTTGGACTCGCTAGGAGGCCGGCTTTTTAGTGCATTTCTTTTTGACATCCTGTAGAAACCACACTCGGCAAAAAATAAACACTTAAGTTGCATGCATTTTTCAAATAAATTATTTTTATACATCAAAATATGTTTTATAGAAAACATGCACAAAAATGCCTTCTTTTACAAGTTTAGTAGAAAATCACGCCCTCTTTACAGTTAATACTCACAAAAGGATACCTTTCGGTTTCAAGGTTTCTAAAATGGAAGTTTTTTAGACCGAGCATGTTCACTTATACAGTATCGGATCTGTCCGTTTACCAACACGCATTATGCAACGTACAACCTAGTCCACATCCATTGCAAATTTTTATGAACTCTATGTGGTATTTTCTTAAAGTCATAGGGGAATATATAATTTTCCTTACGCGGAAAGCATGCGCCTTGTAGACCGAAATCGATAAACGCTAATACAACGGGAATTGGGAAACCTCTTTAAAACCTAAACGCATCCTTCATTTAAGTGCACAGTGTAAATAAAACGTAATTTTTACCAAAAGGATAAGATAAAGCATATTTCAAGCATGTTTTCTATAAATATATTTAAATATCTGAACCCATCGAAAATCAATCTGAAAAATGCATGCCGAGCGTGGTTCCTACACGAGGTCGAAAAGAAGTGCATGCAAAAGACGGCCTCCGCTCGATATTAAATATTAAAACCCCACCTACGTAACCCTTCTGATTTGATTACACATTTTAGAATTCTGACCAACACTTCATGTTATCGGCAACTCACTATATTTGTTGAAATGTGGAGGTCGTTGATTAGTTTTGCTGATGCACGCAGTCATTTCATGAATAAGAATTTTTTATCAGGCTTTTAAAGTGTGTTTTGTGTGTTATTCTGTCAGTCATCCACCTTTGATGGTGAATTTGTAGCCTCTGCCAAATCCTTGGGGTTGAGAATTACTATTCGACAAGGGTTTGGTTTATGGCCGGGACAACTTAATCCGGGGAGGAATTTTTTTTTATTTGTACTTGTCAGATAAAGCAAAAAAGACCTCGCGGTGGCTGTTGTGTTAGGTTGGTCAAGATGCTTTAAAGTAGATATCGACAATGCCTGCAAAGGGACATTAAATTCACTTACTATTTCTATTAATTGGTAAAAAATAGTGGTGACAATATGGAGGACCACAAAATGTGTGATACCAGAAAGTTCTTGGATGTTCAGCTGTATTACTAGTAATTCTTTACGGTGGGGTTTATGCTTACCTTGTTGTATGCTCCTCAACTGCGATTTCATTTCAAAGTTTATAGAAAAAACCGCACTAAGTCAGCATCAAGTTTTGTTTACTTTTGACATAGGTTCGCAAAGCCGGCGGGCGCTGACGTTAATCCTAAGGGCATTTTCGTTGACTACCTGTCTGAGACGACAGAGGACTGTGATTTGCATGAATATTTCTCGAAATTCGGCATTATCACCGAAGTCATCGTCCTCAAGGGCAAAAGGAGCGGGGATACCCGCCGCAATGGCTTTGTAACCTTCCGGGACACAGATGCGGTGAAGATGGTGTTCGATGCTTGGCCACACCTGTTGAATGGCAAACACATTGGCGTTTTTCCAGCATGGAGTCGGAAGTCCGGTCAATTTATGTAAGTTTTGGTTTCACAGAAATTAATATTTGCCTTTTAGGCGCACATCTGTTTAACCGAAAGAAAACATGCGATCAGGGAATGTCCGGACTAGTCGTGAGACCGTCTTCAGAGACCTGTAGGGGGTGAACGGGAAGAGTGCCTCCTTGGTTTGGCGCTTAGCTGTGCCTACTGGTCGCGTGAGTGTAGCGCAGTTGTTATGAGGTAGCTGTCAGAGGCTCTGATCCCCTGAGCTCTCACCCCATTATATTGGCAGTCAGAATTGTATTCCACAGAGCCCTATTTGTGGCCATGTCGCAGGATGTGAATAGTGACTTGGTCGCATCTCCCGACGGCCCGGACCTCGCTGACTTCCGCGATGTAAGAGTCCTTATCGACAGCAGAACAGTTGCATCGACGGCGTTGACTACCAACGAGTGCAGATAAAGTATTAGCTACTAAGCGTACACGCGGGATTTTCTATCCAATGCCTGATTCCATCTGGGGCTCCCAGGATCTTTCACCTGCACGGAAACAGGCCTTAGGGAACTGCATTGGTTGCGGTACATTTGCCTCAAGTGGTAGCTTCGACTGGCTTTCGGTTGAAGTCCACTGCGGTCAGGTACGTCTTGTCAATTTTGTAGATGGTAGTGCTTTTTTCTACAGGGCATTCGAGCTTTCGAGGAGATTTTGTAGGGTTGGTAGCCTGGTCTACGTACATGCACGCTGGTTGGTTACTATGGCCAACCCCCATTTTAACCGACCTGTGGATTCGTGCTGCATGTCTTGTAATCATAAAGTACGTACCATGAAGTCATAGGGTCACGCTGGGCTAACTGTTTATAGTCTACAGTTGGCCTTGGCTCCGAGGACACATCTTCTACCCTCTCCGCATGCGCCAGTTGTGAAGAACCTGTTGGAGAATGCTTTATACTTTAAAAAAATCGTTCAAATAGCGTCGTATTGCTCAAACGTATCTTGAACAAACTCACGTTAAGTGCTACGGTATTGCAGGCTATCCGTAGCTCGCGACTATGCTGAGGCACTTCTGTGTCAACATGGGATTCGTTTTTTCAAACGTTTATGTAAATTTGACCGTTCGTCACAATCACGATTTTCAAAAAGGTCACTTGCTAAAGTGGTTGTGGAGGAAGGACGTTCCTCGTGATAGTTGGATTCTTTTTCTATTGATGAAGTCCTACGTAATCGCGAATTGCTACTGACAAACACTGGACTGGGCGGTGATTTCCACAAGCCGGCGACGCGCCAGTGCTTCTGACCCATAGATGGGGCTGTTGTATCCAGCTGGCCAACGCTTGGAATTATCCACGCCCTCCTCGCAAGTGCTTCCACATTTAGCCCCTGTTAACATTCCGCTTCCCCCTTTTTGTAACCGTCTTTCGAGCGTGATCGGAGTTCTTCAGGGGCAAGTGATGTGCCCGCCTCCCTTAAACAGAACAGAAGTCGGTTGGTATCCTTTCAAGTGCGCTGGGGTGGACTATTTTGGTTCGTTGATGGTCAAACTTGGACGACCTTCTGAGAAACGCTGCGGTTGTGTGTTTAGCTGCTTACGGACAAGAGCCGTTCATCTTGAGATAGCCGCCAACCTAACCACGAATTCTTTCGTTCAGTGTCTGATGAGACTCGAGTAAACGCGGACGTCCCACTGACATCTACAGCGACAAAGGAACCAATTTTGTTGGAGCAGTAGCGGAACTCCGAAAGGACTTTCACAATTGGGACTAAAATAGAGTGTCGGGCCAACTGCTAACTCAAGAGATACAGTGACATTTTAACCCACCCGCTGCCATTCATCGGGGAGGCATCTGGGAATGCATGACCAGGTCTCTACGACGGATTCTTCTTGCTCTCTGTAAGGAGCAATCTCCAACTTACGAACAGCTCGGCACCCTCTTCGTGCAGGCTGAATGTATATTAAATAATAGATCGCTAGTCCCGCTAACATCAGACAGCAACGACTTGGAACCGCTTACCCCGAATAGCTTATTGTTGATGAGGAACTGTCCTGTGCTGCCTGGCAGTGACGAATTGGTGGCACGGTACCGCGTTGGATGGAAACAAATACGCTACCTCGCTTGCGTGTTCTGGAGACGATGGGTAAAAGAATATCTACCAAGTCTGCAGAAAAGAAAAAAATGGACAAGAGAAGCCGCGAAACTGAAACCAGGTGATGTTTTAGTTTCTGGGGAGCGCACACCTAGTGAGAATTGGCTTTTGGGAGTAATAGATACGTGCGAAAAGAGTCGCGACAACCTTCTTAGGACGGTATACATTAGAACGGCGGGCGGTCTCTTAAAAAGGGACGTTAGAAAGATTTGTCTACTTGAGGGCCAGAGCAGCCGTAAACCTCCAAAACCGTAAGTTGTTCTCAAGAGTTGGACGTAGAGAATTGGCGGGCGGTGTTGTATGCAGCTGGTCAACGCTTGGAATTCTCCACGCCCTCCTCGCAAGTGCTTCAACATTTGACCCCTGTTAACATTCCCCTTCCCCCATCTTTGTAACCTCTTTGGAGCGTGACCGGCGTTCTTTTAATCAACTGGTTTTTGTATTCTGATCTTGACCTGGGAAATCGATTTGCTCGAACAGTAACAAAGGGATTCTTTGTCTAGGATATCCATTGTTGAGGTTTGTACGTCTTTTATTATCACCTTATTACCTTTTATTATTACCTTATTCTATCTATTAATGTCCTTAGCGGAATTATCAAGTGCACCGAGCTGCCACTGCGAGTCCACTGACTAGTAGTGTCTGCGATGTGTTAGAGATCAATCCCATGCGACTTCAGCATTCTACGGTTCTGTGCTTTTCGAAGACGACACAGCATGTCAAGTTGATTTGCATGTAGGCAACTTCTTGGCAAACTGTTTACGATCACCCACCTGACTTCACAAAAGTTTGACATTCTAGACACCTGAAATATTGTGGAGTGACTGGAGCATTTGATGAAATTGTGAAATCGCGTATATTACAGTTTGCGTCTCAGTGAGTTTACTAAGGTTATCGGTAAATGCAGCTGAAATTTAAGAAGCTATTTCTCGACTCGTTGTCGTCGCCGACAGATTTCCACACTTACAGCTATTTGTGCTCGTCATATTGTTGCCACGCGCGTGCATTCCAGAGACAGGTTCCAAGCCCAAACCAAGTCGGTCGTATTACGTCGTCCCAAACGTTACTCCTCTGTTACCTAGGAATTCTCAGTTTTCAAAAGAGAACTTTAAACCAGGATGCGACGTTTTCCATGCAGATGGAACTTTAAGGGTTCGTGACATATGTCCTTTGAACCACTTTGGTGAATCCATTTGAAAAACATGGTCACTCTTATATCGTATTTAACATCGGAAAAATATGTTTCTCTGTTAATGAGAATAATAAGTTAGCTAGTGTCCTGAGGAAGTATTCCCACGCCAAAGTTGTGAGCTGGCCTGTAAATCTAGTACTTAGGAAAGGACAAATTGTATGTTTTCAGCCAGTGTTTCGGTTATCATCTTGCGGTCATTGTATTATGGTGGTGTGGGGTTGAGATGGTAACGGGGGGGGAGCATTCAGGGCGGATCCACACAGATTTTTTGAGAACTTCAGAGATACGAAATGTATCTATTTAATTAATATTTTTTCTAACTTCACAGACCTCAAACCCAAACCAGCATGTCAAACGAAAGTGCCTCCGCATCAGCCCTCAACAAAAGGACCATATTTGTCGGTCGCCTAAAGCCAACGACCACAGCAGCTGATCTTGAAACCTACTTTTCCAAATTTGGCAGCGTTTCGAGGGCCAAAGTAGCGACTCATTTGTACAGTAGCCAGTGTCGCAGCTTCGGTTATGTCGAGTTCTCGGACAGGAAGGCCTTTGAGGGTGGTGTCCTGGAAGCCTGTCACTTTCTAAACGGCTCTCGACTAAAAGTCGAGCTTTACGAACGCCGGACTTCATCTAATTCAGATTCTGACCACACGTGATGTCGAATTTTCGTCAACCCCAATATTTGGCTCCATTGTTGGTCGTCTGCTTTTACTGTTAATTC